TTCCAACTAAGGCTTTAGTCTACAGCAGATTCAACGGTGCCCTTGAAAAAAATGTTGGTAAACTGAGGAGTTGAAGCAAGTTCAATCAGATCTCCGCTGGTAAACTTTCCATGGCAAAAAAGCACAATCAACAAATTTCTTGGAATTCAGTGAGGCCATTATCACACGTGCTGCTTCCTAAGACACAGTAATACGTTCATTCGTTGGAGGCATGCACGGATTACTTATACACAACGCAAAATATGCTGTGGTCAGACCGACGGTGGCTGACAAATACTGATGTTTCGGCCCGCTTCTCACGGGCCTTCTTCAAGGTAGATTAGTGAAATTTTGTGAATCTGGTTGGTCGTCCACAGCAGTCGATAGTTTCGGAGCCAGAAGTCTTCATGCTTCCTATTTCTTTAACTGAAGAAAGAAAACTCTCGACCTCAGCTGGGTCTTGAGAGGGACAAAAAGAGTGGTATAGTCGGCGCACAAGATCCAAAGAAGAGTACAAACGCAAAATGACGCCAGCATCAATGCTGGACTGAAAATGTACCTGAAAAAACCCAGGTCAAGTTTAAAAGCAGGTGACCCGTTGAAGTCAATGAACTTTAGCTTGAAGAGGTACAAAACCACGTCTATCTGTAACAGTTCACCTCTGCAACGGAGAACCGACTGCGAAATCAACAAAGGAGTAAAACTGGCATGGAATACTTTTGAAAGACTGGAAATGTTTCAATCTTGGAAACTGTCTCTGTGCTTAAAACGGAACGTTTTCTATCAGTGAGAGCTCCCACTGCTAATCTGTGGATAAGAAACGTGCACTATGAGCCCGACAAAATATTTATAAGACTACGCAATGCAACATGAAAAGCAGTATGCTGGAAGTAACGAGAAAAGATAGAAAAATAAATGAACGTGCAAGAACACAAACTGGTATATGCAAAGTCATTGCAGGAGTGAACAATATGAAGTGACAGTGGGCAATACAGGTTGCAAGAATAACTGACTATCGCTAGACGAGAGAGACGTTAGACTGAATTCAAAGTGAAGTAAACAGCCAGTAACGAGACCTTTACATATGGTAGGATGAGCTGAAGAAAGTCACTACATCAAAATGGATAGGAATCGCAGAAAACAGAAGTTTATGACAAAGTCTTGTTGAGGCCTACATTTAGCAGTGAATAAAATATGATGATGAAATTGAACCCGTCATGAATGTGGAAAGAAAACAAATATGCGGTTTATCGCTGCCCAGCTCATGATGTCTGCAAATGAAACTGCTGGCCCATATCGTACCTTCCACTTCAAGCGGTCATCACGAGAGGTTAAACTTGACTATTAGAAACGCCGACACTGAACACACCTACTTACCTGCCTCCTTCCAGAAAGTTGCACACGTTATCGTCCCTTTTCGATAAAAGCTGAAACGTCTCGCGTACTATCTGCTGTTGAGCTTGTTCAGTCTATAAGGGCAAAAATAGAGAAAGAATTTCGTGAGTCAACTTTACGTAGTATTGGTAGAACCTAAGCAGCCGTGGCTTGCCATGATTGTTAAAAACCATAATAGCCTTGATCATTCTGTCCAGCTATCTTCCCGCATCGGTCACACATAAACAAGAAAAACGCAGTATCAGGAACGAAACAGAAAACGTTTGAAATCAGCTCGAATGCGCCATGCGAAAAAAACATCGTGAAGTCCATCAGACAGAACAGAATCCACAGGGAGCTGAAATTCTGACACCATCAAATACAAATCCGAGCAAAGGCAACTCCAAGTTGAGAATCAAGTCTCTCGGAGGAAAACTTTACAGCTATCCGGGATGCGACATTTACGTAATCCAGAAAATACACACGAATGGCATCTGTTCCTTTCATGCATTCTACGATCCTCTTGGCCGTCCGCAGCAGTCGATAGTTTCGGAACAAGGTTTCAGACAAAATTACTCAACCTGTGATCTACCTCATATCATCATCGGATCTATCAGCTTAGTAAACCACGAGTATGCCCCCAGAAGGAATATCTGGCCTAATAATGCTTAAATCCCTACGCGATCTACCATCTTGAGACGCAAGATCTTTGCGAATCTTAATCCATTTTCAACAATGATAAAGCGCTACCTAAATCTGCTTGGAAAATATCTAAATAAAAATCTATAAATTGAAAATAACTGTGTGGCAATATTTAGTTAGAAACATCGCGCGTACTCTTCTTTGAAATGACAACCATTGAACACTTACAGCTGCATTACAAACTGATAAAGATAGGACTTTGCAACTACCTCAACAACTCCAGGAAATTGTCACTGCAGCCAAATGTTCCACTTAGTAACGTTTTTTTCAATTCCAGCGCGAATGCAGAAGCACAGAAATATACAAATTCAACAATAAACCTCTCTAACAAGCACCTCGAAGAAGATTTATTACATATGCTGTAAAGACCAATCCAGTTTTCACAAAGAACCGCTTACGTTATGCGAATTATAACACTCCTGAGTCAATATTTAGTCAGCAATACCTCCTATCGTTAAATCAAGACACAAAAATATGCAAGGAGAGGAAGCCGTTTTCAGTCATACAACAAAATTTAGCAAAAAGAGGAAAAACGCAGCATGTCAAAACGGCAAATTCAGTTGCTTGTTACTATCCTGTTTCTAACTAGAATTTAACGAAAAAGATAATACATTCTGATCAAAAAACACTATTTTATTTTACAGCACTTTTGCGTCGCTGATTATAGAAATGGATCAAACACATTGCGCCATATGCGGGGAACATCTTAAACATGGTAAAACATGGCAAAGCTAACGATCGGTAAATTTGCAGGATACAATTTAATTGTTCGTCATTACAGAACTGTACACAGTTTAACCTATCATATGCAAATACTATGCAACACGGATTATGATAGGTACAGGCTTGTACTTATCAACATCATTTTCGAAAGTTACTGGAATTGTTTGTTAGAAGAAGCTTGGAATAAAATGATGCAATTTGAATTAAGGTTAAGGGAAATAATCATTTTTGGTTATAGAACTTTTCGTGTTCGGCAGAATTACGCGTATCTTCCAGAATTCAGAATTAAAGAACAACAATTTTCTTCGACATCCAGTTTACTCATTTTAAACTGAAGCTTTCATCATTTATTATATCTAATCAATTGCTTTTTATTTGTACAGCCCTTAAGAAGAATGACTTTCCACTCAGCAAAAACAGATTAGAATAAGTGACAGGCTATTTCAGCGGTTAGAACAACTGGAAGGCCACCAAGCAAGTGAAATTAGGGAGAAGTATGCTACATTAAATCTTTTTCTTCTTCCATCGCCGCATCTCCTTTCGCGTTGCGGAGGCAGACACGTCAGACAGTTCTTCCAATGTCCCCGATCCTGTGCCAGAGTCTGAGCTTCAACAAAAGACAAATGCAGTCTGGAACAGAATCCTTCCATATGTTTGCACCAGGTTAATCTTGCCCGTCCCCTGGGCCTTCTACACGTCGGATTTGCAAGGAAGTGTTACTTAGCCTTCCTTTCTGGAGGCATTCGCAACACATGCCCAAGCCATCGCAGCTGTGACTACTCAACCTGGAGAAGCAAAGGCTGTATACCGAAGCTCTACCGGATGTCACTATTCCGGACTTTGTCGAGACGCGTAAGGCCAACTACTCGTCTAAGAAACCCCATTTCAGTAGCTTTTACCCGGGTTCGAAGTTCTTCAGTGATGGTCCACGATTCATGACCGTAGGGAAACATGTGGATAAAAATTGACCTGAATATCGAGAGCTTAGTTCTCAGACTGAGCTCTACTTTCGTCCCAACCGGTCGGGCTAGTTCACGCAGAACGCCACTGGCTACTCCAATTCGCCGGTCGATTTCTTCCTCCAACTTTC